GACTACCTCAAGGTGGGCGCGGTGGGGGGGCGAACGACTACTTCAGGGTGGGCGCGGGGGGAGGAAAGACTTCCTCAAGGTGAGCGCAGGTGCCGCCGTCACAGCCCCTGGGCATCACCTCCGGGGCCTAGGCACCAGCCGGCCCACTGTCCCACCAAGCCGGCTGGAGAACCGGGGCCTGCCCCCTGGGAGCCACCCTGAAGTCGAGCTAGGGCTCCCTCACATCCCCCAACTTGATTTGGGGGGCACTGGGGAGAAAGGGCTTGAGAAAACTGCTCTGGAGGGCACTTGGATGCACTCTTGGGGTGGAGGTGGGTAGTCGGGGGCTGCTTAGAATCCTCACCCTAGCTTCTCCTTCCTGGGGGGGCATTAGTGTGCCCTGCTACCAGGGAGACCTGTAGCCATCCCTGCCAAGGAGAGGCCAGACACCATCCTGAGTCTCCCCCAGGGCTTTCCCTGCGGGGCCTGTCCCCGCCTGCCTTTCAGGGCGGGTCCAGTTTGAAAGCATGACATCTGGGAACATCCCCTTGGCTGGAGTCCACTTCCGCCCAGTCTAACGGTCCAGTCCCACAGCCTGGGAGGATGATGTCGTGGGAGAACTGGTTCAGAGGCGACTTCCTGAATCCCAGGACACTGTCTTTGCTCTCTCCGGGGCAGGCCTTGTACACACAGCAACTGTGGGCCCCTCACAGCCAATGCTGGTCCTCTCCATGTTCCAGTGGGAGGCGGGAGTTGTCTGCCTGAAGGGGGCATTCCCCCTGTGGGCTCTGAGAGCCTTCGCCCTTTCGGTGGACATGAGCACTTCTGGGTGTAGGCCTGGCTCCATCTGCCTAGTGCTGGCCGTACTGTTTTGGGGACTGCCCAGTCCTTTGTGTTGATCTTGGCCTGGGAGGCTAGACACTTCCTGGGCTCTCCTGCCACTGGCTGGGCACGGTTTTGGAAGAGGCTGAAACATTGCCTGCTCCTGTCAGTTGATGGCCTGGCAGGACACCCAGAAGGCCCCTGGCTGAGAGCCGTGAAGTTTGCCCACTCTGCTGTGTCTGCCTGCAGCACTTAACCTTTAACTTTTTTTGTTGTGGCCTTTCTGGTCAAGTGAGTTTCTCTGCCTTAGGGTATTGAGATCTTACTCAGTTGTGTCTCTCCCCACTTTCCCCAGGATCTGCTATCCAGTGTGTTTGGTAAATGCTTGTAGCAGAGAAAGACGGAGCCTGTTTGAATAAGGATAATCCACCCTTTCAGCCTCTAACCATCCTCAAACCAGGCCTCAGTCTCCTCCTCTGTTAGACAGGAGGGCGAGTCTTCCCACAGACCTCACTCTGTTGACAGTTGGTGGTTCGGTCTACTCTTAGAGCCTTCAGAAGCCAGTGGTCAGGAGAGGGCCCGTGGGGATGGACGCTAGGAGAGAGACAAGCTGGAAAGAGAGTCTTTTGCTCCTGCCCTCCTGGTCCCTGAGCTGTGCCTGACCAGCACCAAGAGCCCCTCACCTGCTTCCTGGCCCCAGCGGGGAGGACGGATCCCAAAGCCTTGCTTCCTGGGCCCTCATGCACCCGCCCCGTGAGCTCCATGAGAGCAGACCCTTGTGCACCATTGGGTCCCAGACCTGTGCTGGTCCACAGCAGGCCTTAAGGAAATAGTTGGTCAGTGTTGACATGGAGCTGTCCCGGGAAGTCACCAGTCTCTGACTTGAAGCCTATTTGAGCCACCTGTGACTATTTAGGTGGGAAGATAGTCCCAGGAGGCTGACAGTTGGTGCGTGATTTCACAGGGCCCAGGGACCAGCCGGGAACATGCCACTGCATGGGCCAGGGCTCAGCCTCAGTTTCCACTGTCCATCCAGTGGTACAGGCTCCAGGTACAAGCCTCGGGCTGTAGTGGGATCTAGGGTGTGTGGCTTCTTGACCGTGTGATTGCAAGCAAATTACTCAGTACCTCTAAACCTTGGTTTTCTCGCTTGTAAACATGGGAGAGTGACACGCTCTTCAACTCAAGGGTTAAATGACATAATGCCAGCGGATGCCACTGAGTGCCTACATATAGTAAACCTCAGCACACAGCTGTGATCTGGGACCCCTCGTGGACCCAGGTGAAGAAGTGTCTGTTTTTAGGAGCTTTGGGGGAGGCGGAGATTTGACAGTAGTCATGTAGTCAATCACACACAATCGTGGTGAGGGTGAGAAGGGGGCCATGTGCCAAGAGCACATGAGGGCAGGGACTGAGGGCTGTGGTGATTTGGAGCCAGCTGAAAAAGAAGCTACAGGAGAGCATTCCAGGCTACGGGAAGCTGGAGCAGCCTTGCCGAGGTCAAGACAGCTAAGCCAGAGAGGCCAAGGAACGGAGGAGTGGGGAGGACAGCCCGTGCTTGTTCTTGCCGGGTGCATCGGGCTGATCCCTCAGCTTCACTGAGGTTGTTTACCCCAGCTGTCAGCCTTGTAGAGGCTGGCGAAATTTTAGAGGTGGAACGTGGGCCATGAGGAGGGGTTGTTACAGGAAGCGCCGTTTCATTCCTTCACAGGTGAGTGAGCTGTGGCCAGAGCGGGAAAGAACTCGCTGCAGGTCCCAGAGGCCGGGCTCCAGGCAGCCAGGCTTGGAGTAAGAGTGTGCTACACTCTTGACATGTTTCCTGGCCCTCTGGGCTACTTTGCTTCCAAAATATGGAAAGTGGGTGAAAGGATAAGGACCACCTCTGCAGTGTGTCTCCTGCACAGGCTGCTTTTGTTCAAGGGAGTCCCACTGAGTCCGGTGGGTGGCCCAACGCAGATTCACCTCCTAGCAGTGGGGGTTACCGGGAACTGTCTACCAGGGAATGCAGCCTCTCAGGCGCTAGTGAGGAAAGTGCCCCGTGGGCCCACTGAGAACACAGGGAGGTGGTAAGCTCACTGTCATTTTAATTACTCAGAGAAGCCGCTGACCTCGTGTACTTGGATGCTTGGATAACGACAGGATTTGTGGAAAGCAGCTGTAAACTGTCTAAAATGTGACGGTCATGGTGACTCGAGGAGGGCCTGGAGTGGTTGCGGTTGAGCTGCCTGAACTTGGGGAGCTTCCAGCCCAGGAAGCCTGAAGGTGAACTGCCGTGGCTCCAGGGTGCTGGACCGCGGCTCCAGCCACAGACCAGGCACGTCGACTGTCTGACCTTCAGAGCCCCTGGTGACCACTAACTGTTACACAGGTGCCATGAGGCGAGGGCCTGCAGGAGCCCACTGGGTTGGGATGGAAGAACCTGCGAGTTGAGGCCCAGAGACCTGGCTTTGAGTTTCTTTTTTTCTCGTGTACATGATGAAGATCATGGCACCTGTGCCCATAGAAGTGTTTTCAGGGATCGGGAGGTATGAGTAGGCAAGAAGACATTTTGCTGACGGAAATCCCACGTCTCGTGAGGAATTGTTGT